TCCATCCATCTGTCCATCCGTCTATCCATCCATCCAGTCATCCATCCATCCGTCTGTCCATCCGTCTATCCATCCATCCATCTATCCATCCATCCATCCATCCATCCATCCATCCATCCATCCATCTATCTCTCTCTCTCTCTGTATCTCTGTATCTCTCTCTATCAGCTGGTGGCCTCAGCAGAATAACTACTTTCATTCTCCCTATCAGGTGATGGATTAGTGTCTAATGTCAAGGGTATACCCACCAGATTTGGAAAAAGGGGGGAGAGAGCGGCACCCCCTCCCTTACGTAAGGGCGATGGCAGGGAGGTGGTCACAAATGTTTTGTGTAGAATTCCTCGAGCTCATCTCGGGGAGACGTTAGCGGGGTCAGAAGCCCCTCTCTGAAGCTCCCCCAAAAGGAGAACATGATTGTTGGACAAACCATCTCCAATTTGCCCACTTTCTGACCACCGTTGGTGACGGGGGGAGTGACCTTTGACCTCCAGCATGGTCGCACAGGGTTGCGACGCAGCCGGGGGAACGCCGGTCTTCCCTGTTTGCACAACCCCGTGTGCTGCCACCGGCCGGCTCTGAGGCTCGCGCCCTTCAGTCTGCCTTGACTCTTTCAGTCCTCTCTCCGGCTGTAACAATGGCCGCGACAATAAAATGAAGCGGAGGAGGACAAAATATGCTTTCTTGCGCACTTAATACAGAGCGCTTTCCCTGGGATCCTCGGAGCCCGAGAAGCCGCACTGCGGGAGGCGAGACCAATTACAGCTCTTTCTCATCCCCCTAATTAAGCCCACATACACACCTTTACTTTGCTTAAAAATGTCTGCGTGTGTGTGTGTGTCCTCCTGTGTCCCACAAAGAAAGGTGGACTCCACAATTGAGAACACTTAATCTAAAGGAATGATGGGTATGCGCCATTTTTAGCGCAGTCAAATTCTGGGCAAGGCAGCACAGGAGGTAGAAACAGAGAAAATCACCATTCAAAAGAGTAGGGGGGCCAAGTCGTCCTAATTATAGATCCAACAGGCCTAACATTAAGAGCAGGGATGTCAAACGTACGGCCCGTGGGCCAAAACCGGCCCACTAGGGGGTTCAATCCGGTCCACTTGATGAATTTTGAAGGTGGGGAAAAATGCACAAACGCTTCATTTTCGTGATGTTTTGTCAAATTATATTTCATAATATATACTAACATGAAGAGCAGGGATGTCAAACGTACGGCCCGTGGGCCAAAACCGGCCCACTAGGGGGTTCAATCCGGTCCACTTGATGAATTTTGAAGGTGGGGAAAAATGCACAAACGCTTCATTTTCGTGATGTTTTGTCAAATTATATTTCATAATATATATATATATATATAATATAAATAAATATAATATATAAATATATGTATATATAATATATAAATAAAATATATATTATAATATATATAATATAATATATATAAATAAATATATAGTATATTTTCTAATATACTTGTTCCTATTTGGAGGAAATCCAAAGGGGAAAACATGGACTTATAGTTATTTATAGATAATTATGCTATGATTGTTCTGGTCTGTGCCTACTTGACATCTAATCAGGCTGTATCTGGCCCCTAAACCCAAATGAGTTTAGGGTGTGATGAGTAACTAGTTGTGGTAAACCGAACAGACCCTTCTAAAAAAATCAGTCGAGTATTGTGATAAAAGATCCAGAACCGGTGGCCCTTTTAAAATTTGTAACTAGCAAACTTTTAGTAGACATTTCATGTGACCCCAAGGTTGAAACTAAAACACTGATTTAAGTTAGATTTCTGCACTCTTATTTTGAAAGAGCTGCCTCCGCAGCTTGGATTTCGGCAAAAAAAATTGAATACCCGTCGTACAGTATTTTATACTGTATGTACAACACCGTTGCAAGTGATGGAAGTGATCCTCTGACGCTGAAAACCTGGACCAGAACCAAATTCCTCCAAATGACCCCCTGTTCTTGAAATAGCATCTTGCTCTGTGTTGGCTGTGTTGTCGCTCAGTGTGTCGGGGAGGGAGAGAGGG